TACTCCTTCAATCTGAAAGGGGACATTGTAGGATTGACGTTGTCGCTGTCAACATCCGGGATCAATGTACGCAAGGGACTTCTCGACATTGCCCCGGAGCCGGGCTTTCGTGCGTTTGACGTTTTCTACTACCTCCTAGCCTCAGTGTCCACCCCCGCCGAGCGCGAGTTCCTGAACCTGAAGGACGCATCGGAGTATTCTCTGCTGAACAAGTCCGGAACCTACACCCCACCATCCTATCTCCCGACAGCGGACGATGCCGCTGCCGCAGAGGATTTCCGGGCCGCGCTCAAGGCCATCGGCATCAAGGGAGCCTCCTTGCGTGGTCTACTGGCTACACTGGCCGGATTGCTGAAGTTGGGCGATGCGGCAGGATTGCTCGTCGATCAGGAGGACCTCGAGGAGGCCTGTGAGGAGGTCGGCGGCCTCCTAGGGATTGACCCGGAAATTCTAGCCCGCAAGTGCTCGACCGATGAACGGGAGGTGTTGATTGCTGGAATCTACGAAGCCCTCGTCGATTGGGTGATCGGCAAGGCGAACGACGCCATTTCGAGCGAGCTCCAAGCAATGCTAGAAAGTAGCCCCAGCATGAGCGGTGGCTCCGGCCCTGGAGGTCAATGGACTGACGACGATACCGTTGCTATCACGGTGGTGGACATCCCTCGACCCGCCCTGGGCAAAGCATTGGCAATGAGAGAAGTCTTCGACGACAGCATTGGTATCAATGCGGAAATGAAGGAAGACGGCGTCAGCGTTCCTGCGGTTGGGCACGCAGTTTCCAACGACGTGAACGCGGCAGTTGCACAGGTCGAGCCCGACCTTGGCATTACCACTGGAAATGCCTGGCGCGAACGTGAATACGAAATCGCGCGGCGACAGGAGGTACTCGAGAAAGTCGGCTTCGAGGTTGAAGGGGACTCTTTCCTCCGACGCCTTTTGCTGCCCGTCGAAAGCGAAGGTATCACGGTTGGCCAAAAGGGCCGCTTCGATCTCATCAACACTTTGGGAAGTAGCAGAGTGTGGCATCACATCTCTCTGCACCCAACGGACGAGCTTCCCCAGAATCTTAACCCTTCCCTCCCAGCTGCCGGCTGGTCGGCGGCGGCAGTCTCCCGTCAATTACGCGAATGGCGGTTTGCCGAATGGGCTAACAGACGACTTAAGCAGCTCGACTTCACCGCGGATTTCGATGTGGATGAGTTCGTGAGCCGTTACCACCGACTTGGCTGCGCCGACGGCAGAGAAGGGGTCGAAAGCTGGTTGATGGAACGAGGATGGACCAATGGCGACGCAGTCGTCGGTCACCAGCGTATTTGGATGCGAGAGAGCGCTTGGTGGGAGGCTGAAACGATGCTCGACCTCAAACCGGACGAGTCGCCACCAGTGAACCCGTTTATCTACGGCAGCACTATGCTTGATCCGCATTACGCCGGAACTCCGGTCGTAGAATCGACCAGTCTTCTGGGAAGCCGGGATGACCTCCTTCAAAGACAAAGTACTCTCGTGCCCAGTGTTCATGGTGGCCTGGCCAAGTCTATTGCGCCCAGTGTCCCCAACACGCTTCACATGAGTGGAGGCGACTACGGCCTCGGCAGCAAAGGCGATACGAGGAAATGGGACGAGGATTATGCCCGGTACGAAGGCGAGCTTGATCCGGAATTTGGAGATGGCAAGCACATCGAGAAGAAGCCCATCACCAAGGTGCGGCGTGCCTGGGTCGCCTTTGTGTGGGCGTTGACCTTTTGGATCCCCTCTTTCGCCCTCCGCTGGTTTGGTCGCATGAAGCGTCCTGACGTCCGGATGGCCTGGAGAGAGAAGTTCGTTCTCGTCTTCCTTATCCTGCTGTTCAACGGCATTGTCTGCTTCTATATCATCGCTTTCGGCGATCTTCTGTGCCCGAACAAGAACAAAGTCTGGAACGAAAAGGAGCTCAGTTGGCATGTGGGCAACAATGACTTCTACGTCAGTGTCCATGGAAACGTATATGACATCAGCAAGTTCTGGCGTAAACAGCACAGTGACAGCAGTATCGAGACGACTACCAGCAACATGAAGCCGTTCGCCGGAGAGATCCTGGATCCGTACTTCCCTCCCCCACTGACTCGCTTCTGCGGGCACTTTGTCACGGAACAGTCAATTCAAATGCAATACAACGACACCAGCGCCATTGAATACCCCAATGCGGAACACAAGTGCGGTCCCTATGAAACGCCAAGCACGACCACGGCGCTGCACAACATCACGTGGTATGAGGACATCTTCCTACCCAAAATGAAAGGGTACTACAAGGGACCTCTTGTCTGGACCCGAAAGAAGGTCAAGGAGGAGGCTGAGTCAAGTTCGCGGTACTGGGTCATTGTCAATGAGAAGATTTATGATCTGACGGATTATTTCTACACGGCCGATTTGTTCGATGATAGCAACGGTTATGACTACCTTCCCAGCAGCGTGACCACGCTTTTCAAGAACTATGCTGGTGAAGACGTCACGTCGAAATGGGGAAACAGCACGGATTTCCGTAACGCCCAGACTTGTCTGGACTACGTTTTCTACAAGGGCAAAGTCGATTTCCGCAACAGCCCGAGGTGTACGGTCAACAACTGGATCTTGTTGGCATTCACGGTTATGATCTGTGCTGTGATTGTTGTCAAGTTCCTTGCCGCTCTGCAGTTCGGTACCAAGCGTCGTCCTGCTCCGCAAGACAAGTTCGTTATCTGCATGGTCCCTGCCTACACTGAGGGTGAGGATGCGCTGCGGCAGGGTTTGGACTCGCTTACTGCCCTCGAATATGATAACAAGCGGAAGCTCATCTTCGTGATCTGTGACGGTATGATTGTCGGTGGTGGTAATGACCGGCCAACTCCCAAGATCGTGCTGGATATCCTTGGCGTGGATCCCAAGATCGATCCTCCTGCGTTACCCTGCAAGGCCATCGGACAAGGAAACGAGCAACTGAACTACGGAAAGGTATACTCTGGTCTCTACGAATATGAAGGCAACGTGGTTCCGTACATCGTTGTGGTGAAGGTCGGTAAGGAGTCGGAGCAGAGCAAGCCCAAGCCTGGCAACCGTGGCAAGCGTGACTCCCAGATCCTGTTGATGCAGTTCCTGAATCGCGTGCACCATCGCTCTCCCATGACGCCGCTCGAGCTTGAGATCTTCCATCAGATCAACAACGTGATTGGCGTTGACCCCGAGCTGTACGAGTACTGCCTGATGGTGGATGCCGATACTAGTGTGCGGGAAGATTCACTGAACCGACTTGTGGCTGCATGTGCCAATGATGCGCGGATTGCCGGTATTTGTGGCGAGACCAGTCTTCAGAACGAGGAGCGGAGTTGGTGGACGATGATTCAGGTCTACGAGTACTACATTTCTCACCATCTGGCCAAGGCATTCGAATCGCTTTTCGGCACCGTCACCTGTCTTCCGGGATGGTAAGTCACTGACCCGAGTGTGTCTGAATTGCTGCTAACAGGTTTTCAGTTTCTGCATGTATCGCTTGCGCACCGCCGACAAGGGTCGCCCGCTTATCATTTCCGATCAGGTCATCGTCGAATATGCCGACCCTGAAGTGGACACCCTTCACAAGAAGAACCTTTTGTCTTTGGGAGAGGATCGTTTCCTGACCACCCTCATGACGAAGCATTTCCCTCACATGTCCTACAAGTTCATCCCCGATGCCTACGCCAGTACGGCCGCGCCCGAGACATGGTCCGTCCTGCTTTCGCAGAGACGTCGTTGGATCAACTCCACCATCCATAACCTGGTTGAGGTTGCGGCCTTGAAGGATATGTGTGGCTTCTGTTTGTTTAGTATGCGGTTCGTCGTCCTGGTTGATCTTATTGGTACGCTTATTCTTCCGGCTACGTGTGTCTACCTGGGATACCTGTTGTATCTGGTTGGAAGTGGCACGGGTCAGTTCCCGATCATCTCGATCATTATCTTGGCGGGTGTGTATGGTCTCCAGGCGATTATCTTCCTTCTCAAGCGCCAGTGGCAACACATCGGATGGATGATCATCTATCTGTGTGCCTACCCGGTCTACAACTTCGTTCTGCCGCTGTACTCTTTCTGGAAGCAGGATGATTTCAGTTGGGGTAACACGCGTGTTGTGATCGGTGAGAAGGGAGACAAGAAGGTGGTGGCAGTGGAGGAAGACAAATTCGACCCGCGCAGCATTCCGCTGCAGCGCTGGGACGACTATGCTCTGGCCAACAATCTCCCCGGCCGTCGCGGCGACTTCGGCATGAGCCAGGAGAAGCTGTACTCTGGGCGTTTTGGTGACGAGATGGCGATGGAAATGGACGACATGCACTCGCAGTATTCGTCGGTCAAGCCGGCGTCGACGATCCTGACGGGCTTCCCCGGGCAGGGTCGCCACAGCAGCCCTTACATGCCACCGCAGTCGCCGGCACCTTTCCTGAACACGCCGGGCAACCGCCAATCGCATCTGTCCAGCTTCACGAGGTACACGGACAACCCTCACCAGAGCAGTCACAACGTGTCGCGCCACATGTCGATGGGCAACTTGAGCCAGTTCCAGGACAGTGGGATGGCGACGAACCGCCACAGTGTGGGATTGATGCAGAGCACGGAGAACCTGCTCGGTGGGCCGCGACCCAACTCGCGTAGTCCGGTGGGAGGCTACTCCTCTCGACCGGTGAGCGCGTTCGATTTCCGCGGGGGCAGTGGGCCGGACGAGGCCTCGATCACGGAGGCGATTCGCAGCTGCTTGGCCGAGGTGGATTTGGACACGGTGACGAAGAAGCAGGGTAAGTGATTTGCCTGGGTGGTTGTTTCAGTCCCTAACTAATCTGGCACAGTGCGGGCATTGGTTGAGCAACGATTGCAAACGACGTTGATGGGCGACAAACGGGCCTTCCTCGACAAACAGATTGACCACGAGCTGGCCAATATGTAGTGATCCGTTGGTCGGGGTTACTTGTATTTTTGCCATTTGTTTTAACACATACATAGTATTTTCGGGCATGCACGGTGTTGGGTGATTACTAGCGACTAATGGATGCGGTGTATACAAGGTAGTTGCGGGATGATCAGACGTAGGGTTGATGCATGTAGTGATGTAGTGTGTGTACTGCTGGTCATGACTGTCAGTAAGTGCTGTGTACCTGCATGGTGTATGCATCAATCCATGACTGCAGATATACAAATAGACAAGATAGTACCCCGCAACCATCATCATCACGACCAACATTGCCCCTCAATCCAACTCAAACCCCAACCCCATGAAGAAGAATCACCACCACCGAAACCACCCACCCCTCCCCTTCCCAAGATTCTCGTTATCGGCATCGTCGTCATCCCCACCCTCCTCCTCCCGACCTCCGTCCCGCTCATCTCTCCGCACCTTCCCAGCCCCAGCCCCATTCACAACCCCAGCATCCCCCTCATCACCAAAATCAACCCCCTCCCGCCCAGAATCCTCCCCATCCCCATCCCCACCCCCCGAACGATGCTCAACCAACCGCAACGTCTCCTCCACCACCAACAGCTCGCGCTCAATCACCTCCGCCCAGTTCTGCACGTCCCCGATCTCTTTCAACGCGTCGCGCGCCGCGTCCGCCGTCTTGGCCAGCTGGGCGTTCTGCTTCGCCAGCGCCGCTGTCGACCCCGCCAGCGCGTGCTCCTGGCGCTCGAGGGCGGCGGCGTTGTCGTGCAGGATCCGGGCGCGCTCGCGCAGGTGCGTCTCGTGCGCTTGCGCGGTGCTGCGCAGGGTGGCGGTGAAGGCTGTGCGGGCTTCGGTTGCTGTGCTTGTAGAGGGGGATGTGGTTGAGGCTGAGGGGTGGGAGGTTGGTGGGTTTTGGGGGGTGTTTTGGGGGGTGTTTTGGGGGGGAAGAGGATTGGGGGGTGTGGTTGTGGTTGCGGGTGCGGGTGCGGGGGTTGTGGTTGTGGTTGTGGTTGTGGTTGGTGTCGTGGTGGTGGTTGTGGTTGTGGGGTGGTCGGTCATTTTGGTGTTGTGTTGTTTGTTAAAGATCGGGATGGTTTGATCGTAAGGGGGTTTCTATTGTGGTTGGTTGAGTGGACTTAGTGATGGTGATGGTGATGTGGTGGAGATGAGAAGATATACCTTGACTTGACTACGTAGACTACATACTAGCTTGCTAGAGGTGGGCACATCCTAGTCAGTTGCATGTGATTTATACTGCTAGAGATAGGTCAGTCGGTGTAGGTACAGTACACTGTTCTACAGCTTATACTCCATCTTGGTCAATTGAGAATAGGACACTCTATACAGCACCTCCTCTTTGTAGCTATGAATTGTTTACTTCAATAAGGTAAATACTACTTTACTACTCATGAATCAATGATTCTAACCATGGAACAGGAACACCCGCCCCGCCCCGCCCGCCCCGCCTTGCCTTTACCTTCCTATCTACATCGTATATCCACAGCAATCCCCTTGATACTATCAAGTCCACGCAATCCGCACCTCTAAAAAGAATCAGAAACACAGGGATGTCTGTCTAGCGCAGGATTCCCGCCCCCAAACCCACATTGACCGTCAATCTCACCACGCCATTCCCACCAGTAATCCCTAAGAAGCCCAGCCCAAAGATACCGGAAGTACGCGGCCTTAAGCATAAACTCCGTCCTCCACCACCACCACCACCACCACCTTATACACAACTATATACATATACTCCACTCCGTACATCACCTACATATACACCCCCATCCCCCATCTCCCATCCCCCTCAACCCCAACCCCATCCCCCTCCCAAAATGCCAAAAACCTACCTGATAACCGGCGCATCCAGCGGCCTCGGCGCCGCCCTCGCCCACTCCGCCCTGCAAGCCGGACACACCGTGCTGGCCACCGCGCGCGACCCGACGCAAGCCTCACTGACCCACCCCTCCCTCACCACCCACCCTCACCTAACCTGGCTGCCCCTCGACATCACCTCCCCAGACACCACCGCAACCCTCTCCGCCGCCCTCGCGGCCCACCCGCCCGTCGACGTCCTCGTCAACAACGCCGGCTACTCCCTGCTAGGCAGCATCGAAGCCATGACCCTGGCCGAGGTGGGCGCGCAGTTCGACACGAACGTGTTCGGGGCGATCCGCGTGCTGCAGGCGGTGCTGCCGGCCATGCGGGCGCGGCGGGCCGGCACGGTCGTCAATGTCTCGAGCAGTGCCGGCGTGGACGGGTTGCCTGCTTGTGCGGTTTATGCGGGGAGTAAATTTGCCCTGGAGGGTGGGTTTGTCTTTCCTTCAAGTTGGGTTGGGCTAACGTGTGGCACTGCAGGCATGTCCGAGAGCCTGGCCAAGGAACTCGCTCCCTTGGGGATCCGCGTGCTGCTGGTCGAGCCGGGCACGCTGCGGACGGGCTTCTGGGCGGCGTTTGTGGAGCCGGCGGCCGGGTTGGATCCGGGGTATGCGGGGACGCCGGTGGAGGCGGTTCTGACCAAGTTCAGGGGGAATAAGACAGCACAGACTGCGGCGGGGTCGGATCCGGTCAAGGCGGCGCAGCGGATTGTCGAGGTGGTGGATGGGACGGGGTTGGGGGCAGGGAAAGATGGGCTGCTGCGGGTGCCGTTGGGGGAGGATTGTTATCGAAGGTTCCAGGCTAAGATTGAGGGTCTGCAGCAGAATTTGGAGCAGATGAGGGAGATTGCGCATTCGATTGGGTTTGAGGAGTAGAGGATGCAGTGCTTGTATGGAGTGTCGAGGTAGGTGGTGGGTTGTGGATATGTTCGATAGAAGTAGAGCCCTGCTGACCAAAGTATATACAAAATTGAACCCTGACCCGGTATACCAATTCCAACTCAAGACATCTGTCCAGGTTAATCCTCAGCCTCCTCCTCCTCCTCAAAAAACTCCCGCCAGATATCCAACCGATCTCGCCCCTCATCCTCCTCCATCCCCCATTCATCCCATTCATCCCACTCCCCCAAACTCATCAGATGCCGCATCGTAGGCCGCCCGTGAGGACAGTTCCACGGCTTGTCGATCGTTCCCATGTTGCGCACCACCCGCTGCATCTGCTTCGTCGTCAGGTTCTTCCCGATCATGATACTCGACCGACACGCCCGCATGGCGAACATCTTCCGCACCTTGGTCGGGCGGGGCACTTCCTCACTCCCACTCGTCGCGGGCATCTCCGACAGCAGCACGATTAGCTCCTCCAGGTCGCGCTCCCCGAACACCACCTCCTTGCTCAGCGGCAACGACACCAGCCGGCAGCGGCGGCCGATGGGCTCGTCCCCGCTGTCGTCCACCTCCACCACAAACCCGTTCTTCTCCAGCGCCGCCTGGTTCTCGATCACGACCTCCTCCTCGACCGCCGTCAGGTCCAGCGGCTTGGGCCGCACCAGCCGCTGGTTCTGCACCACCGTCTCCGCCTGCAGGCGCTCGAAGTTGTACTTCTCATCCGACGCGTGCTGGTCGATGATGAACAGCTCATCCTGGTGGGTGCCGGCGCGGGGCCGCGTCGCCAGAATGAACCCCAGGTTGAACTGTCCGATGATCCGCATCTGCGCGAAATCATCCTTGCTGACCGTCAGGGACAGTCGTTCTTCCGCAGTCGCGTGGGTTCCAGCCACCTCGGTTGGGTCTTGTGTAGTGTCGACTGCTGCGTGACGAAGGCAGGTCTGAAGTTGGTTGAGTCGGGTTTGGATCTTGGATAGGGAGCCGTCGACGGTGGTCACGAGTTGGACTGTGGAGTCGCGGTGAGCGGCGCCCTTGTTCATTTTGATGGCGCGCTTTTCGCTGTTGTGCGGGAGGGCGGCCTTCTCCTCCGCTTGTTGGATCAACCGCTGCACTTCGGCCTCTTCATGCTGCTTCTTCTCTTCCTCGGTCATGTGCTCTTGCGCAGGTTGCGTGGCGGTTTCCTTGTCGGCTGCTTCATCTGCACCGGCGTCGGAGTTTACACTTTCATGGTCGGAGTGCGCAGAAGCTTGAGAGCCGGTCTCTTCCATCTGTTCTGCATCATCTTCCTCCATCTCGTCTTCTTCGGCATCCTCCTCCATCTCGTCTTGATCTTCTTCGACTTCGTCAGAGTACTCTTCCTCAATCTCTTCATCCTCCTCACCCTCGTCCTGCGCCATCTGGGACCCAGGGGCGGCAAAGTCGCGCATATGTTTGCCAAAAATACTCGGCCGGGACGGCGTGTATATCCGCCTCTTCCTGGTAGAGCCACTTGACCCAGTGGAGTCACTGAATCTCTTCCTCGGGACACCACTTCCTATCACGGAGGTGACGGTCCGGTTACCAATGGTGATCGTGGCGATCTCGGCCGGCATGCGTCTAGGCCGCATGCGATCGAAGGCGTTCTGCACAATACTCGGCGTTTCTTCCGGGATCTCTGAGTCCTGTGTCGAGGGAATGGGAGGGCTCAATGGAGCGGCAGCCTGGATGTCCTGTGTAGAGCCACCAGGCACTTCGTCCTGCGGAAGAGCCCTCTCGCGAGACACTGGCGTGCTGTCCTGCCGCACGAAGAGCTCGTTGTCTTCTTCTTCCTCTTCCTCGGGCAGGTCAGACTGAGGTTTCGGTGCCGCAGACACAGCGTCTTGTATCTCATTCGGGGCATCATCAGCAGGCTCTTTACGGTTTCCTCCAGCCCCAAGTCCACTCAAGAAGCTCTTCATCCGATCCTGAGCGTTGGCGTGCACTGCATCCTTCGTCTTGATTTGAGTCTTGTCCCCATCTTCCTTCTCCTCCTCCTCCCCCTTCTCCGTATCCTTAGCAGCATCACCCGCCCGACCAGAACCCAGACCCTGCAACCGGGACTGCCTCCCCGCCGCCACCTGCGCCTGCGGCACCGTCTGCTCCGCCCTCTCAAACAACTCCACAAGCGCCCGCTTTAACGACTCAATCAGCTGGCCCGCATCATGCAGCAAGATCGTCCGCTTATCCGGCGACACATTGACATCATACGCCGCCGTATCCATCTCGAAATCGGCGAACACGAACGGCGACTGCGCGACATTGAACGAGCGGTAGACCTCATTAAAAGCCTTCGCGATCTGCGGCAGCCCACAGGGCCGCGCATTCACGAAGAACATCTGGCGATCGGGCGTCTGGCGCCCCTCCCCGACCACGGGCCGGGAGATATGGCCGCGCACCTTGATGCTGCCGGCAAAATCCAGCTCCAGCTCCAGCGGAATCAACGCCGCCAGCGTCTTCGCCCCGTACACATTCGCCAGGTTGGCCTTGGTCGTGGCATTCCCATTCGTGCTGAACACGACCACATTTCTTCCCGCCCCGCCGCCACCTTTAGCGGCTGTAGTATTGCGCACGGTAAACCGCACCCCGGTGCTGATGCACGCGTACGCATGCAGCAGGCTGACGACCTTGCCGTACTCACGCTTGAGATTCTTCTCCAGCTCGCGGCGCCGCACCGGCAAGCCGCGGAAGATGTGCGCGACCGCGGCGGTCGTGCCCTTCTGCCCGGCCACGAGCTGCGTTTTGTGGAGGCGGCCGGACGGCTCGAAGTCCAGCCGCGTCGCCTTGGGCGCCTGGTGCGCCTGGGCCGTCACGACGTGGAAGCTGGACAGCGCGCACAGCGACGAGAGCGCCTCGCCGCGGAAGCCGAAGGTGTGGAGCGTGTTCAGGTCGGTGAAGGTCGCCAGTTTCGAGGTGTGGTGCTTCAGGGCTGCGTCGGCGTTGGCGTTAGCATATCCATTCCTCCATCCATCCATCCATCCAGTTCCGTAACGCTTTGCAATAATCGTGACCGTAGTCAACGGCTTGGGGTTCAAGGGGGGCTCACCCAAACTCTCGTAATTCTCCGGCGCGATCCCGCTGCCGTTATCCTGGACTTCGATGAGATCGAGCCCGTTGTTCTTGAAGCGCACCTCTTTACCCCCCAAGAGAAGTTAGTTCTTGCTGCAGTACCTAACGTGTTTGAATCAGGAAATTGTAGGGGGAGGGGGGGCGCACCGATGGAGGTGGCGCCGGCATCGAGACTGTTTTCGACCAGCTCCTTCGCGACGGAGCAGAGGTCGGTGATGACTTGGCCGGATTGGATTTGGTGGACCTTTTTTGGAGGGGGTTAGAGATTCGCTATCATCGGAAGGAAAAGAGGGCAACGT